AAGTAATATTTTAATGTACTGTATTGTACTTTAGCAGACAATAAGTCTATATTTATATAAATACTACATATAACTTATATACAAATAAAATTTTGTTTTGTTTTGTGTGACACAGTCTCACTATGTAGTCAGTGGAGGCCAGCCTCAAAATTGTGTAGATCCTCCTGCTTCAACATCCCAAGTGTGAGAAGCCTCCTCCTACTCAGGGGAAGTTAAACTCTATCATGAGGGGGAAGGTATAATCCTATCGTCTTTCCTTTTTTATGTTAAAAGAGAATATATGTAGGCTTGGGTTTTTGGGTACCAGAGTCTCATTTCATTCTAAAATCAATGTTTTCTTCTGGTGCTGGATGGGAATTAAATCCAGAGCCTTAGCACACTAGGCAAGTGCTCTACCACTGAGCTTGTATTCCCAGCTCAACCAAAGTTTTCTGAAAGTCAGTTTTCTAAAATCAATGTTTTGCTAGGCATGGTGGTGCACACCTGTAATTCCAGCACTTGGCGAGCCTGAGGCTAGAGGATTGTTGAGTTTGAGGCCAACCTGTACTGCATAATGAGTTCAAGGCCAGCCTAAACTACTCAATGAGATCTTCTCTCAAAAACAAACAAAAATACCTCTAGTGTTTCATAATCTGTATGAAAGCAGTTCACTCACCTGGAAAAAAAAAATCTCACTTTAAGTAAAAGTGAAGTTTTAAAACATCTGCAAAGCTTTGTGTTGTGGCAGTATTGTAGCCAAAGAGGTTTATCTGAAGTGTACTTTTTGTTAATTAAAACATTTGTAGACCAAAATGCTGAAACATCCAGTATCAATGAACTATTCCATTAACCAGATCTTAGTTTCTAAACACTTTTCTTCTAGCCAAAACCAGGGATTCTTTTTTTTCGGTCTTTTTTTTCTTTTTTTTTTTTGTCGGTACCAGGGATCGAACACATGACTGCCTGCTTGCAAGGCAGGCGCTTATGTGATGTAAATGTTCTTTAAAAAAGAAAAAAAGAATGGGATGCTGTCAAAAGGTAAGAGGACAGCTCCTTGTGGCCAAACTGGAACAATCTGAACAAAATAATGTGATATTGAATTGTAATTAAAAGTATAAAATAAATATGAGTCCACAATGATACAACCTATATCCATATACATACATGTCCATATATATATATGAACGGGTGAATAAACAATCAATTGGAGAGAAGAGAGTCTTCCTTGCAGAGAATTCTGGATGACCTAAGTAGATACTCCCTATTCCAGGAAGGAAGAGGTGCTCAGTTTCTCCTACTCTCAGTCCCTCCCCACTGTGGGACTGGCTACAGGATTGGCTAAGTCAAACACAGTAGCCTGGAGTAAGAAAGGGGAAAGGAAAAGTATGTCTGGAGTGTTGAGACCTGGCAAACACTCAATGGGTAAAGGCCCAGTGAGTCACGGTGAACATCACCACTCAGCCCTGGAGACATCATATTGGTGTCATGTGTGTACCTACTGATATACGATGAGAAGGGCAGTTCTCTTACGTAGCATTTTTGCCTCAAACCTATAGCCCCAGTTTAATCATGAGAAAAGTACTAAGCCCAAATTGAGGGGCATTGTACAAAATGCTACAACCTTACAAAAAATAGTCAAGACTGTGAAAACCAAAGACTAAACTGCCAAAAGCCTGAGGACACAAAGGAAACCTGATGATGAATTACCCTTGGCCAGAAAAGGGACATCAGTGCCAATCTAAATAGTTTAGTTAGCATCAATGTACAAATGCTGGTTTCATAGTTTTGACAAATATTCTAAGCTAGTCTATTTGGGTAAGAGATATATAGAACTCTGTAAAATCTGCAACTTTTAAGTGTGAAATTTCAAAACAAAGCATTAAAAAATAGCACATTATTCTCCCAAGTGTCTCTGACACATAAATCATCTCATGTCTTGGTTATACTCACTGGAATTTCTTTTAGGGGGATAGTTATTATCAAAACTACAATAAATGAGATATGTGTGCTATCTGAAGTCAGTGAGTATGCAGTGCATCTCTGCCGAAATTCCTGCAGGATGTGGAGGACTGCAGTATGCCAGAATAAGACATAGACACTTTTTAGTAGATAGGGTTACATAATATTAACCTCTAGCTTTACATTTCTTTAAAGAATGAGTCATGAGGGCAAAGACGGCTTTGGTCACTATTATCACCTCTATCTCTACTACACAGTAGATGAACACGAAGTGTTTTTAAAAGAGGGATTAAACTCAAGGCCTCCTCCATGATCAAGACATGCTCCACCACTGAACTAAACCTCCAGGCCATTAAGTATCTGCTAAATACAACTAGTTCATGAAGCAGCTGACAAGTGGTTTATATGTGTATACAGGAATGTAAAATAAGTTTATTTTGAAAACTGTCATCATTAATGAAAAGTCGTAAGTTTACTGGTTTGAATATAGGTATGAATATTCTAATTAATAAACTAAGAGGCACTGGATCTATTCCCAAAGCCAAGACTGGTGAAAGAACTTTGGCTATATACTGAAAGCACTACAAGTTTGGCAACGCTGGAATCTTACCCATTACTTTAAAACAAAACCTACCAAACCCTTCCTTCTAGTAAGAAAACGATGAAGGTGGGAATCATGACAATGAATTGCAGTTCAACTGGTATGAATGGGGATCACTTGTCTTATTTTGCTCACATTTTGCCTTTACCTAACAATTCTAATCCTACTGAACATTTCATGTATCTAGCAACAAGATACCAAAGTTTATCTTTTCATTACATTACTTGCTATAGGTAAGATTTCAAATAGTATTTGCCACTGTCCTATAGGCATTTACATTCCTTCTTTAATCCATTTTCTAAAATGTTTTTCTTTTTCTTCCATTCCCAACTCTTGTCCATAATATTTAACATATTGGTGAATAGCCCATTTCTACTGTCTGAAGCTGATTTCTGGTCAGACCCCTGCAAACAAACAACAGCCATTGATAAATGCTATCACATGCCTGCTGAGAGACCTTCAGGACACCCTTCTTCACCACCAAGGCATGGACTCCCTGGGTTCCAAAGCAGGGATCTCTGTTGTGTGCAACTACACTCAAGAAAATCCTTTTATTACAATGGCATACTCTGTTCTAGAATTTCACAAGTCTTTCCAACTCACTCACTATAGATATTTCCTTAGAGACAGAAGCCAGCATAAGCTTTACTTATCAAGATAAAAAGACAAAAACTGTTTCTTTTGGGAACAGCCAGGATTTCTTCATTTTAAGTAAAGATCGTAAATGACGTGGTCTTAAACCTCATCCCCACTAAATAGCAAAATGAAGCTTGGATTTTATTTTCCTTCATTCGTTAGAAGATATCTTGGACTTTTAAAATACTGCAGGCAACTTGATGGGAGGTTTTCAAATCAATCGTAGCAGTAGTCTCAGAGTGAATTTGAGTTAGTATCATTAGTCTTGATACACTAAATGGAACCCCTGAATTATTTAAAATTGCCTTGTGCCAGGCATGGTGGTACATGCCTATAATCCCAGCACTTGGGAGACTTAAGTTCAAGGCCAGCCAGTTCAAGGCTACATATTGAGTTCAAGGTCAGCCTAAATTGCACAGTGAGACCCTCTCTCAAAACAAAGCAAAACAAAACAAAAAATAAAAAAACCTCCCCAAACCCACCAAAGGCTTTGGTTTGTTCTTACCCGAAATGTATCCCTAGTTGCGCTGGAAATTTTTTTCTAGACTCCCACCAACATCATCCCTACTAATGCAGTAGCTTGCATTTTCCCACTAAAAGATACACACACACACACATACACAGGTGTGCACACTGGTACACACAACCCTCCAACCCCAACAAGCTCCTCAAGAGTGACTTGGAGAAGGCGAAGACAGTCAGACAGTACCTCTTGGGCGTACATGCAGCAGCTGGCAAAAGGAGAAGTCGTTCTACTTTCTTTTAAACTTGCAATGCTTGTCTTTATTTTGTTCTTTATATTTCGAAAGTGAAAAGAAATAGTACTGAGTCAATTTCTTAGTTTTTTTTTTTTTTTTTAAATATTTGTTCTATGTATTTACAAGCCTTAAAGTTGCTCTAAAGGTTTCAAAAGTATTAAGAGTATTTTTTCCAGGGTAGCACTTTTTCAAAAACAATTCTTGGAGTTCTCTGGTCCACAGCATTTCCTTCTGTTCCAAGGTTATGTATGTTTTAATTACTATGGTGATTTTTTTTTTCCTGAAGCAAATTGATAGGCAAGCAGAAGATTTGATGCCAAAAAAAAAAGAACAAAAAACCCAAAACCAACTTTTTAACTTTGTTCACCCTAAACCTTCTCGAATCTGAACTACTATCTCTTAAAACAAACATGAGGTGCATCTGAAGGGGAGGGAAATTTATTTCTCTGTTTTTCTATTATACAAGTTGTTTACAGAAACTGCAAATTAAAAATTACACACTGGCATTTGCAGTCCTTAAAATAAATTAAAGAGTTCTCACTTTTTTTTTTCTTTTTGCTAAATGTATTTTTTTAAAGTATGAGTCCTTATTTAAAAAGAAAAGATTAAAACAGAAAATATTTTCTATAAATAATACATGTATTTTGGTTTTAGTGCTCCCGCCCTCAGGTTTGACGTTTACTTGTTTCCAACACCTTTTTCCTCCATGATCACCTTTTTTGCTTCCCCCTCCCACTCTGCACACATGGGGGTTTCTGTGAGAATTGGCCTTGCTGCACTGTGATTGGCGAAGACGTGAAACTGTTTAAAAAAATACTTAAGTTGTTTCTTTTGTTTTGTTTTGTGTATTTGAAGTTTTAGTTATCCTCTGACTCCTCTTCTGCTTCCCTCAGCCATGTGAAAAATGCTGTGACAGATTTCAGAGCCACACCCTTCCCGTTCTGCTCTGCAGGGTCTTTGCTGCTCTCCCATTTGTAGAAGGCATCCTCAGAGATCACCTCCTCGTCATATAGGCAATCAAAGAACATCCGGAGCAAATCTGGAAGATTGTAAAAACAAGCCATAGATTTTGGAGCACTACAGTTGAGAGGAAAAGCAATTAATGAGTGAATTAATGAAGGATGACATTCATTCTCCTGCATAACAGCATCTAGGACAATTCATCCTACTCACTTTTCATACTGTAATAAGAGCAAAAGATGTCTGTATTCCTTTTATTTTATTCAATTTGAACTATAATAATGTTGAATTTGTTTTATATTATGTATTTCTCAATCCATAGCCATGTCTGGTGGTGCAAAGTGTAATCCTAGTACTTGGAGGCTGAGGCAGGAGGAACACTGCAAGTTTGAATCCAGCCTGGGCTACATAGTGAGATCAAGACCAACTTGCACTACAAAGTGAGACCCTGTCTCAAAAAACAAAACAAAAACCAAAACAAACTTTAAAAAAGTTAAATGAAAATTTTTACTGTCTTTACATCCAGGGAGAACTGATTACTTTAGTACTTTATTTGGAGATGCTATCTGGGTCTCAAGTAGTGTGCTACCATGCCTGGAAAAATCACTTTGCATCCTGTAAGCCCTGGGTGGTTTACAGGAAAATAGAATCTACAGCTAATCTGCTCTTCAGGGACTACTGAAATTAATAATTTCAGTTACTTTAATTTGTTTGCGCACACTGCTGTCAATTTTATCTAACTAGTTGGCCATCTCATTTCAAAAGTTAGTATAACTACCATATAACAGTATAGAACAAGAAGCCATGCTGTTATATGATCTTTCAAAGACCCAGAGAGAAGGAAAACAAAGTTTCTGATTCAGATCTGTGTGTCTCTTCACTTATACACTTTGAGGATAATTTATTTCAACCATTTTATCTCCCAAAGGGATTCAGTAGCACCGGAATGGAGAATTTAGCAAAACCTGTAACCTAAGGAAGTGCCTAAGAACAACTTAAAGGCTCTCTCTCAACCACATATCCCTGCTTTCCACAAACTGCAACAGAATCTTCAAGATTAAGTAATAGAATTCCTTAATTAAGCCATATCACTAAAACTTGTGTATGGGCTACCTTATTTTTTGGTCTGGTTAGCCAAAAACCAATGATAACTTTTAACCTGGAAAGTATTCTAAAATGCCTGGTAAATATACCACAGATACTAGTAGGGTTTTATCAGCTATCTAAGGATCTTACAGAGTATCATCCTCAAGACCACTGGCCATTTTTGTTTCACTGATCTTTTTTTTTTTTTTTAATTAAACTTTTTTTTTTGTCTTTCATTTTTTTTTTTTTTCTTATCGGTGCCAGGGATCGAACTCACAACTGCCTGCTCGCAAGGCAGGTGCTTATGCCGCTGAGCTAAATCCCCAGCCCCATGTTCCACTGATCTTTACTGTCCTATATGGTAGCCACTAGCCACATGTGGCTATTTAAATTTATTTATTTGGTACTGGGGATCAACCTCATGACCTCATGCTTGTCAGGCAGGTGCTTATGCCACCAAGCTATATGTCCAGCCCCTGGCTATTTAAATTTAAAGAAAATGAAAAATTTAGTTCCTTAGTCATAACAGTCACATTTACGTGAATAACTTAGGCTTACAGTTACCATATTGAGTGGCACCCCTACATTTCCATCAATGCAGGAAGTTTTATCAGCCTTGCCCTAGAATAAGAATTAAATTTCTCATATAAATACAACAAAACTTCAGATCTGGAGCTGGGTGCAGAGGCATGTGCCTATACTTCTAGCTACTTTGGAGGTGGAGGCGAGAGGATCACTTGAGTTTCAGAGCACGAGACCAGCTTGGACAACATACTGAGGTCCTGTCCTAAAAAAAAGAGAAAGAAAGAAACCTCTTTGCTTGGTGCAGTGGTGCACACCTGCAATTCCAGCTACTTGGGAAGCTGAGGTTAGAGAACTGACCTAGAAGCCTGAAACTGGCCTAGGAAAAAGTGAGATCCTTATCTCAAAAAAAAATAAATAAATAAAGTTATTGGTTATTTCAGTTTTTATTACTAGTAATTAGTGATTCTTCTATTTTCTATCTTAGAACCTCCAATCATCCCTGAAGTCTTGACCTTGATAACTCTCACCACCCATCAGATAATATAAGGTAAACTTACTCGCAGGCTGATCAAGTTTTACTATTGATGCTTGCAGTGCATAAAGTGCTTGCAGTTCCTTCTCTGTATCTGAGTCCAGGTACTTGAGTAAGATCGGCACTCTCTGCTTGATAACAGCAGTGTCCACTCTGAAGGTAGAACAGTCAGCTAGAGGTGATAGAAAAATTAGTATTACATGTAAGTTACTAACACGCAGAACCATTTCTAATTGCCTAAGTACCTAAAACCTACAGGATTCTGTAATAGAAAAGGTGGTTAAGAGGGTCAAGGCAAGATTTTTGAAATCCAAATACTCTAATATTTTTAATGGAACATTTTCTCAGGAACAATAAAAGACATGAAGGGAAATGCATTTTGAGTTGTGATTTTTTCCTTAAGGGAGTGAACCCAATTATTTATTTTTAATTATAATGAAACCGACAGTATTTTATGAAAACTTATGAAATCAATATAAATGTCTCAGTACAAAAAAGATGGTGATTTGGTAATTAGTTTGATTTACTCATTCTACATTGCAGAAATCTTGTTATAGCTTGGATCTGAAGTGTCCCTCAAAGTTGGCCTGTAGGGTTTTTAGGAAGCAGTGGCAATGTTAAGAGCATTTGGTACTTTTTAAGGGAATTATGCCACTGGGGATGCACCCTGAAGGTTACATTAGGACTCTACTGCCCTCTCTCCACTTTCCGGATGTCATGAGATGAATAGCTCTGCTCCACTACATGATTGCCAGCATGGTGTTCTGCCTTGTCATAGGCCCAAAGCAACAGGAACCAAGCGGGTGTTGACTAAAACCTATAGAGCCAAATGTATGATTCAAAATGTATGTTGCCTCCCTTTGATTTTTCTCAGTTATTTTCTTACAATAATGGAAAGTTAACATACATTTGTCAAGACATTATATTGGGGGCTGGGGTTTTAGCTCTGTGGCATAAGCACCTGCCTTGCAAGCAGGCAGTTGAGAGTTCGATCCCTGGTACCGATTAAAAAAAAAAAAAAAAAAGACATTATATTGTACACCATAAAAGGATATAATTATGATTTGCAATCACAAATATCATTAATAAAAATGAAGAACGAATTCAAGTGAGTCCCTTAAGAAACAACATTCAAAAAGGAAGTTAGGAAATTGGGTGGTATAACAGGAGCACAATGCTTGGCTTACATGCACTAGGCCCAGGGTTCAATCCTGTAATCACCACAGATGTACACACACACACACACACACAAAGGGAAAATGTCAGTGCAGAAGGGTACAAAAGGGTACATTTTATTATTACAAAGATGATGAGAGCTAATTGTACAGTGGCAAAAAAAAAAAAAAACAAAAAACAAAAAACAATCTTAAGTGTTTTGAGGAAAAGGCATGGTATATAGGGATTGAGCAAAGTCTCCTTAGTGCCCCAAAGTGCAATGTTGTGTAAGGTTTCTTCTTATTCACTGTTTAAGCTATAAAGTACAGAACAGTTTCTTTTCTTGGATGCCAGAGATTATAGGCATGTGCCACTACACCTAGCTAAAGCTATTTAATGAATAGCTTGAATTTCTCTGAAATGACAAAGAAAAAATTTTGAGACAATATTGAGTTGTGTTTTCCCCTCACTTCAGTCAAAGAAATGTGAATTTCCATTTGAGGCTAAGTAGATATCCTCACTAGACATCGTTAAATACTGTATGAAACTCTTTAGTTTTTACTAATTCTAATCCTATTTATCTGTATAATTAATAAATAATGAAACTGTTATAAAAATAAATTCAATAAAGAACAAGAGAAACTTGGTATTTTCTTTCTTCATACAGGCATTCACATACAATCACCTTTCTGATGGGAACAGCTCTCTTTAATAATAGGTAAAGAATATTCAATCTATTCTTTATAACCCACAAGCAGAAGGGGAGGCCTTGAATGACAGAGGTGTTAAGGTAAGGAAAAATCTACATATCTAATATATTAAAAAAAACACCCAAGGAACAGTAACAACTTTGTTGCAGAGGAGAACACAAGGTATATGGCTGTAAATCTGAACTTTTTAATAGGCAGAGCAACTATTTGTCCCTATGATTGAGACAATCAGGCAGTGCAGACAGAAATAGTAACCATTTGTATAGAAGCTGAACTATACAAGGCAAGTTTTGAAGACAATAAATAAAATCAGACCATATAATCAGTAGCTGACATAAAAAGGAACACAGATGTTAAAAGCTGCTTTCAGAAAATGTCACTTACCTATAATAGCTGCTTTACAAACAGCTGTCATTAAAGCTCTAAGGAATGTAGGTGAACTCATTTGGCTCTCATCTAGATTAGCCTGAAGTTGAAAAACAAAACAAACAGTTAAAGGTATTTTTTCACACCAGAGAAATTTACTTTCCCCCAAACTGGGCTAATCTGGTACTAAGGGCAGATGTAGTTATGTTTTTACACATTCATAGGAAAATTAAGCATTTGGCCTTTTTTTTTTTTTTTTTTTTTTTTTTTTTGTCTTTTTCCTTTTTATCGGTACCGGGGATCAAACTCACGACTGCCTGCTTGCAAGGTAGGCACTTATGCCGCTGAGCTAAATCCCCAGCCCCCGAAAATTAAGCATTTAATTCATTTTAAAATAGTTTGGAGGCTGCCTTTCTATGTGAAAATGTAGTAAGTAGCTGTACTTAGGTTTTAGGGAGCTTATTATAGTAGTTATTTTCTGACCAATCATAGTGTTATGTGCTATGTACATTTGGAAGCACAACCATTTCAAAACTTTGTACTTCAGTACATAATCCATATTAAGATGATCTATCTAAGAATGCAAGTTGAAAAGTGACTAGACTATAGTGCAGCTGCAGTATATTTTAAAGTCTACTCTTTCTCAGTACCATGCAGCTGTTTGTTTGTTTGTTTGTTTGGTCTTTTTCCTTTTTATCGGTAAGGGGATCGAACTCACAACTGCCTGCTTGCAAGGCAGGCGCTTATGCCACTGAGCTAAATCCCCAGTGCAGCTGTTTGTTTACGTGCTAACATTGCTTTTATCTTAGTTTTAATTGAATTAGAGGTTAATCTCAAGCATTGCCCTAAACAAACCCTTCAGGTCATGGGAAATTGTTTTTTTTTCCTGAGGATGGGAAAAAAAAAAAAATCAAAAAATTCTTTTAGAGACCTTAAAAATGTCCCCAAAGTTAATTTTATTTATCTTGTTGCTGCTCTTAGACACTGCGCTAAACCAATGTGTAGAAAAAGAAGACGTTTTCTAGACAGGGATGGCCTTGAACTCACTTATGTAGCTCAGGCTGGCCTCATGGAACTCATGGCCATCCTCTTGCCTCAGCTTCCCAAGTGCTGGGATTATAGGCATGTACCACCACGCCTGACAAACATTTATTTTAAAAAAAATTCCATTTTGGTCAAAAAGCAAATGCTCACGTTAAGGAAGAGCAATAGCAAAGTTAGAGAATATAAAACAGGTGGTAGAGTAGTGGCTGAAAAAGCAACTTGAAGTCAATGTTGTAGGGCTGCCAGAAGTACAGATCCAAGATAAAAACTGCAGGATACCATCACCCTACACCGCTGGAGCATACTGAGGGTCAGGCTCAGTTTGCACATGTTCCTTGAGAGGGATGCTGAAAATCTATGCTATTTTTGGCACAAGTAACCAGACAAATGTCTGTTATAAAAATTAAAAAATAAAACCAAACCCAAAACCAACCTGGAAAGGAAGACAGAAATTCAATGGTAGGCCATTACATTACTTAAAAGCTATTCAACTTCCAGGCATGGAAGCACGTGCCTGTAACCACAGCACCTGGGAAGCTGCTGAGGCAGTAGGACTGCCAAAAGTTTGAGGCCAGCCTGGGCTATTACTAGTCTGGTAAAGGTCAGCTTGACCGGCAGCATGGAAAGACCTTATCTCAACAAACAAACAAACAAACAAACAAACAAACAAACGAAGTAACATTCCACAGCACAAGATAAATAAAGCATAAAATTTCTAGAAGGAGCCATAAGTATGAAAATATAAGCCTATATATTTCACAGTAATTACATATTGTTTATTAATTTTACCTAAGATACTACTTAAAGGATAAAATACAGACTAGGCCCTACACTCATGATGGACAGAGAATGGCTCCTGTTCTAAATTATTTTTATTTGACTTATAAAAATCTGTTAAAATTTTGTAAAAATAGGATAGCTTTAAAATACACATAATGTAAGAGCTGATTTTCACTAATGTTAGAAATTCTCATAAAATGAATGCTGTGGCATGTGACTTAAGAGGACCCCACAGCATCTTTTTTGGCAGAGAGAGCGGAGAATGACATAGTCTATATACCTCTACCCAGTCAAAGATCTGTTCATCATTTGCTTTCTCCTCAATAATGAGTTTCTCAAGGCGCTGATACAACTCATCAGCAGAGAGTTCTTTCTTTGAAAGTGCTTCTGAGGAACAGGAACTGTCAGACTCTAAAAATTCCAACTTCTGAAACATAAAATGTCAAAACATATTAATATAGTTTAATATTATTGTCATCCTGAAAGGAAAATAAAACCATGGACACACTTTCTACTTTACATGAGATCAAAATAATGAACAGCTTAGGTTCTGAAAGACTACCACTTCACTGTCTTTCTGAATATTTCTCTAACTTTTTTTTTCTCCAACTTTTCATAACATAACTTGATTCTAATAAGAGCAAAATGCTCTCTCCTATCCCGACTCCCCCGCAAAAAAAAAAAAAAAAAAAAAGCCCAAGTAAACAAGCTCATTATCTCTCTGGCTATAGTAGTATGCTTTCCTCCAAGTCATTTTGAGTTTCATTCTGGCTTTAATCTTTGAGTTGAGACGGCTCTTTAAAGCTGGGTGGGAGCCCTAGGCAAGGGAGCAATTTAGTTCCCTTTCTGTAAACATATGGTTTAATATTAGAATCATCACAGAGCAGTTGTCAAAACTCTATATAGATTCTGATATTGAATTGGAATCTGATTTTGGGTTTACTGGACATCAAACCAGTGTGCCATATATTTTTATTTCTCTTGACTATATAACTTACAAGAGGAATTGCTAAGTCATATGGTGATTACACAGTTTTATGTTATTGTAAATTATATCTTTGTACAAGTGGGGCCATTGACATAGATTTGTAATTATTATTTTATGCATTTGTCTTCTGGTCATATAGCAAACAAAGGGAGTTACAAATCAAAAACATAAAATACTAGCTTTTGTATTTATCTATGTAGTTACCTCTGCCAGTGGTATTCATTTCTTTGTATGAGTCTGTGTTATTGCAGTATCCTTTCCTGTAGCCTGAAGGAATCACTCTAGCATTTCTTAGAGGGCAGACAAAGTGGCAAGATGTGTAGACTTTTACTATTCAACTCAGGGAATACTGAGGATTGAACTTAGGGCCTCACACAAATTGGGCAAGCATTCCATACTAACCTATTGCCCACCCAGCCTTTTTGTTTTGATTTTTGATACAAGCCTTTGCTTTGTAGTTCAGGCTGATCTAGAGTTTACTGTGTAGTCCAGGCTGGCCTAGACCTCACAGCGATCCTCCTGCCTCACCTCCTGAGTGCTGGGATCACACCATGATGCCCAGCTGCAGCCTAGAATTTAAAATTTTTCTTTTCTTTGTCATTGGTATCGGGGATCGAACTCACGACTCCCTGCTTGCAAGGCAGGTGCTTATGCCGCTGAGCTAAATCCCCAGCCCCTAGAATTTTAAATCTTAATCTTTCTTTCAATTTTGAAGGATATTTTGTCAGTTAATTAGAATTCTCTGTTGGAAGAGCTCCATAGGTTCTGTCTATTTTTTGATTATTTTTTCCTTCAATTCTGAGTAAGCAATTTCAACTGCCCTATGTTCAAGTTTGTTGACTTTTCAGCTACTGTATCTTTCCAGATTCATATTTTTATTTGGTTTCACTTTGTCATCTTTTAAGTGGGATGAGGTAGGTTGAGAATAAATCCAGAGTCTCACAAATTCTAGGCAAGTGCTCTACCACTGAGCTACACTCAGTTTCAGACTCCTTCTTGAAAAAGGACCTTTTCAGAGATAGGGCCTCACTACGTTGCAATTCTCCTGCCTCAGACTCCCAAGTAGCCAGTATCACATGATTTACCAGCATATCCGGTTCCATTTTAATTCTCATTTCTTTACTGCTGTTTGTTCATCATCATTCTGCTGATTTTCTTTAGCTCTTTGACCTTGGTTTCCTTTAGCAACTTGAACAATGTAAAACACATAAATGCTGGTATTTCCAATGTTTGGATTTCCTCAGGAATGTTTTTCCAGTTTCTTTAGTGTTTCCCATAAATGCGCCAAACTTCCTTGCTGCTTCACTTGCTTTGGAACGTTTTCTCCCTACATGCAGTGCTGGGAATCAAACCTTATAAACCCAGGCCTTATGGACTGAGCTCTATCTTCAGCTCATTTTTAAAATTTTTATTTTTAAAATACTTTGACAGCTGTAATACTTCAGCTTGAAGGGGTCGAGACCATGGCCTGCCCCCATATTGGCCACAGCCAAACAGATCAAAACAATATTTGAAGGACAAGGTCCTTATTGTCAACTTGGCATCAGCAAGCTGCCCTGGAACAATGTGCTGCATTTACCTGGCTGTCTGCCACAGGGCTGAAGGCTGGTAGGTTTCATGAAAAATTTCTTTCTTTTTTTTTTTTTTTTAAATCTTTTTTGAGACAGTATCTGACTATGCAGTTCAGGCTGATATCAAACTCACTTTGCAGCTCAGGCTGGCCTTGAACTTCCCAGGATCCTCCTGCCTCAGGCTTCTGAGTGCTGTGATTACAGGCATGTGCCACCATACCCGGCTATATTCTTTTTCATCAAAAAATCCTCATGGTTTATAATTAAACCCCAAAGTCTCATGTGCTCAGAGGTGGGATTTTTGGCAAAGGAGTCATGGGTGGGCTATGCATAGTGGGTTAACTCATTCATGAGTTCATAGCTAAATGTGTAGCACTGGGGATGTGACTGGCAGAGTGTATTGTATCTTATCTTGGCTCCTTTTTCTCTTGCTTCCCTAACCTTCCTTTGCAATGTCCCTCCCACATGCGGCCTTTGCCTTGAGGCAGCTTAACAAGGACAGAACCCTCTGAAACCATGAGAAAAATAAAATCTTTCTTCCTTTAATTTGGTGCTATTTGGTATTTTGTTCCAGTGCTGGGAAAGTGACTAATATAATTTCCCTAGTGTTGACAATAGATGTCTTTGACTAAACTCCTGGTCCAAATTAGTTAATCCTAAAAGACAGTACCAATTTTTTAAATTTTTTTTTTTTATTGGTACTGGGGATCGAACTCATGACCAGCTGCTTGCAAGGCAGGCACTTACGCAGCTGAGCTAAATCCCCAGCCCCAAGACAGCACCAATTTAACAGTTGTTTCTGATAGGTTTCTCCTTGGCATGGTAGAAGAGCAAGAGCAAATAAAAGGAAAAAAGAAAAATACCTCCATTGTGGGCATGGGAAGGCTGCAGTAGAGTATAGCGTCCCCCCTCAGAGCAGACAAAGACACTGTGAGCTTTTATTCAGTTTGACAGGGGTGGAGTTTGAAGGAGCAGGCACAGTGACCTTTTGATAGATGATTGGGGGAATGTTGGCCCAAATGAGAAAAGTGGGGAGTTCAATTTTCCGGTTTGCAACAAGAACACGGAAGTCAGTGTTGCAGGGAGGCGCCATCCAGCACTGTGTGGGGCAGGTGCTGCACTGAGCCTGGCAGCGCTTCACATGGGACAGGTTCCATCAGTTTCAATGGTGGATGCGCTCTGGGAGTTTCTGACTCCACTATCTTCCCTACATCCCTCCATGCATTGATTTGTGAATATGAAAGCAACTTTACATTCCTGTGATGAACCTTACTTTGTTATTATATATTTATCTTTTTTATATATTGTTGTACTTGATTCCTGAACATTCTGTTGAGAAAAAGTTTTCTTTAATGTAAGCAAGAAACACTGTTTCCAGTTGATGGTTCTGCACCTAAGAAACTATCAGGCCCAATGTGGCGCCTGCCCAACATGGTGCTGCACCCTGGAACCACAGTGTGTCTCTAATACCCATTTTTCTCTTCTTCCAAGCCTGAACCGAACTTCTTGCTTTTCTCACACAGGCTCGCATCTCGCCAATTGGCTGTTAATAGGTCATTTTGCCCCTCCCTTCAAACTCCATCCCCTGTCAAACCTAATAAAAGCCATAGGGCTTCTTTGCCGGTCTCAGAGGAATCTTGCACTCTTTGGCAGCCCTCCTGTGCCCGCAATGAAGGCCTTTTTCCTTTTCCGTCTTTGTTGCTCTACCACATCAAAACAAAACACACCAGTTTTCTTCTGTCTTTGGTTTTGGTAGTATAGTAATGCTTATCTCGTGTAGTGCTCTGGCAAGTAGTTGCTCAGTTTTCTAGAAGAATAAGCATATAATTCTTTTGTTGAATTAGTACCACTGTAGCAGAAAATGCTCCCCTCCCCAGCCAATATACTTCAGTTTGTTAGTTGCTCAGGTAATACTTCCTGTTCCAGTTGCTCCAGTCTCTTAGAAATGGCTGGCCATTTGATACACATTGTATAATGGAATTCCCAATTGACAAGCTATTCTGCCTTTGTACTTCCTGCCTGCTTATCTCATACAAGCCCTAGCCCACCACATATTGGGGCCTGATATTCTGGGAATGATCCCGATCAGTGCCCAATGATGTAAATAAATCTGCCACCACATCCTGGATGTTGTTTTGCTGTTTCTGTGTGCACCATGTCTTCTTCAAATGTTTGTTAGAACTTGCCAGTAAAACCATGGGCCTAAAGTTTCTATGGTGGGAGCACTTTTAACTAGGAATCTAATTTCTTAACTAGATATTCAGGTTATTTATAGCATCTTGAGAATAGTTGATACCTTTTAAGAAATTGGTTCTTTCCAATTAGATTGACTTTACTAGCATAAGAAGTATTCATATAATTTCCTTACCTATTTTATGTACAAAATCTGTAATATCACCTTTTTCATTCCTATTATAATTTGTGTCTTCTTTTTTTATTTATTTCTGACCAGTCTGTGTAGCAGTTTGCCAATCATGTCTTCTCAAAGAACTGGTTTTGATGCTGGGTGTGGTGGCACACACCTGTAATCTCAGCACTTAGGAGGCTAACGGGGGAAGATCATGATGCATTTGAGGCCAGCCTGTACTTAGACAAAGTGAGTTCAAGGTAGCCTGAACAATATATTCAGACCTTATCTCAAAAAAAAAAAAAAAAAAAAAAAAAAAAAAAAAAAAAAGGAACTGGCTTTGGACTTCACTGACTTTTCCATGTTCTGTGGCATTGATTTCTGATCTGTTACTGTTTTTTTGTACTCATTTTATTTTATTTAGTATTTTTATTTTTTTTCTCATTATATAAGGTTGAAGCTGAGGAGGACATTCGTTTGTGGTTTTTCTTGTCTTCTAAACATAGGTAATTGAGTGCTAAAAATTTCACTGTAAATACTGCTTTAAATGTAATTTTTTTTTTTTTTAATTTTTGGTAGTATTGCAGATTGCATGCAAAGACCTCGCACTGAGCTACAGCCCCAGCCCTTTTTTCAGTATATTGTTTTTGCAAAGACAAGGTCTTTCTCTGTCACTAATTTTCCCAAGCTATGCTTGAATTCTGCCTCAGCCTCCCAATAGTGCTGGAATTATAGGCATACGTCACCACACACTCTTAATTCCATACATTTTGATACGCTGTGTTCAAATTTCTCATTCAGTTCAAGACAGTTTTCACCATTTTTCTCATTTCTCCCTTACCTCCTGTGTCATTCTAAAGTATGTTATTATGATTCTCTCTATATAATAGCCTCATTCTTAAAGGTTAGCTAAAGAGACCACTCTAAACAAGGGGTGCTATTTACTCAGCACTCAAGAAGATTATTCTACCATCTTCCAGCTTGCGTTGTTTTACTGTAAAGTTTATTTCTTCTTTTCTTTATTTTTAGGCAGGATCTCACTATATAGTAAAGGCTGTCTTGGAACTCATGGTGATACTCCTGTCTCAGTCTCCCAAGTGCTGGGATTACAGGCATGTACCACCATGTCTGGCCTACAATATTTTCAAATATTGCTTTTTCCTACTTAATCAATTTCCTTTGTGGGATTCCAACTATACATACATCAGACTTTCTCATTCTGTCCTTCAAATATCCTATTTTAGAATTCTACTTCAATTTTTTGTTCTTTTCATTTTTAAAAAATGCCTATAGTTATTTTGATTAGTCTCATGCTGTGTGCTTATTTTTGTAATTTCCTCTTTTTTCTCTAGTGTTATTTTATTTTTTTGAACCAGGGATTGAATTCTTGACTTTGCAATTGCCAGGAAGGTGCTTGTGCTGCTGAGCCATATCCTGGCTTAGGGTTATTTTATATTCTGAGAAAGAAAAAATTCCATTACCTCAAACTTTGAGGTATAAATCTAGCACTTACCATTTACAAGTCTCATTCATAGTTACTTGTTTCATTGGATAGTGAATGAACTCTGTGTTAACTCATATATTTAGGTAACGTGTGTGTTTAAAAAAAAATATCTGTGTGTGAGATCTAAGTTAAGGGTATTTTCTCCAAAGAGCATTCTGGCTCGCTTCTTCTAAAAGCCAGGTTAACACTGAACTGGAACCAGTTAAACTTCCCTCCATGATTTCCGGTAATGCTTACAACGGCATTTTCCCATTTGGCCAGCATGTTCTTCAGGTCACATGCCCTTCATATACGCTTACTGCCACACAGCTCATGTTTTATCTCTGGCTTATTCCTTTCTCCCTCGTTCTTTCTGTCTCTTGGAAGAAAACTCTTCCACTTTCTGCACATCAACAATGCATCAGAAATTATGTTTTAGGTAGATTCGTATTTGTTATGTGAGGAGCACTCTTCAGTTTATCTAGACTGTAACTCAAATAGCAGTTAGAATGCATAATAATATGGTATAATGTCTTTATCCAGAGCAATGCACCTATTCTACTGTATTTTGTATTGTTTTTGAGTCAAGTGTTAGCTTCCAAAGCCTGGGCTTCAACAATCTTCCTGCCTGAGTCTCCTTTGTAGCTGGGACTACAAAGGCACAACAATGAGCCTGGCTGCATATATTTAAATCAGGTATGGTGGTATATGCTTACAATCCCAGCCCTTAGGAAGATGAAGAGAATCTCAAGTTTAAAATCAGCCTGAGCTATAAAGTGAAATCACCTTTCAAAACACCCCACAAAAAAACAAACACCACTACCACAAAATCCAGACTTACAGTCCATTTTAGATTGCTTTTTAATTCTATTCTACTACAGTGATTTTTTGTTTCCTCTTCACTGCTGATTTTGTTGCCTGTCTTAGCTTTAGTTTTCCTTGTTTTAGGTTTTTTGCTTGCAGGATCATTTTGATAATTTTGTTTTCTTTCTCTGTAAATAATTGATCTAATGAGAATTATCTCTACCTAATGTTCTATAATTCCTTTTGTAGGACCAGAATGCATCATGCTCAACTCTGGAATCTTCTGCCTTGTGGATTTCTGGATCATTAACCAATTCAGAAGGCAGGTTAGCTAAGTTCTGGATACGTAACTGTGTCAACCCCCTTGCAATTATTTATGTGTGGACTGTTAGGCAGCAGGCTTGCTCCAGTGGAAGAAGCACTGTAGTCTTCATTGGCCCATGGAGTAACTTCTAACTGCTTGTGTGCGCTTTCAGACTAACAGCTGAAAACACTTGCACCTTAATCACCCATGCTTTACAAATCAATTTTATCTGTGCTTCCTAAAAACATGTAACATTTAAAAAGTCTGGCTGTCATTTAATTTATCCTTTAATGACCACATATTAAAAAATGCATTTAAATGATTTTATCTTAATTAAGATTCCCATTTTGATATAATTTTGATTATTGGAATACTAATTAAATTGGTTTCATTTCTTCTACAATACAGAGTTATTACTACCAAACAGGAAGACATAGCTTTGTCTTACCTGCTCCAAGAGAAAATGATGCACATCTTCCCCTTCTGGTAGAAAGTCCTTCCAGCTGAGTTCAGCCTCCCTCCATAAGGCTCCCACTTTCTTATGGCTCTAAAACAGAGGTGAGAACAAGACATTAACTTTTACATTGGAAGAAGAGAAAACAAACAAACTTGCTTGAGATCAAGAACCCTAGGCTGAAAAATCAAAACCTTTTTTTACTGATATATCAATCTCTTATGACTCTTGACTTTCAAACTGATATATCAATCTCTTATGACTCTTGACTTTCAAACTGAGATGTCTGAATAACAGTCAATGACTGAAGTAACTCAAGTTTATGGTTCGACAACTTATCAGCTGGTTAATCTGGAAAAATGCAAGCTAGCATTTGAGCTTTATGAATATAATCATGATAAGGGGAAGGGTCCAATATACAGGGTGTATAAATTCAATAAGGTAAAAAAAAATTCAACACGGTCTCCTTTTCTAGGTATCTTTGTCGATGTACTGGTACTAAAGCCATTCACAAGCCTCACTGGAATCACTCTGCATTGTGGGTCACACTTATACTTCCTCATACACGAATGCTTAAGGCAGCTGCTGTTTCTGAATTAGGCATGAAAGTGTTTCCAGGGCAAGAAGCACAGGCTGAGCCCAAGAAATAAGAAAGAGTGGATGTCATCTGGAAACATAAGAGGAGATACAAGTGTGAACAAAGTCACACTGACAATGAAAAATGCCAGTCTCTGATGCTGCATCTGTTATCTGAGAGCAGCAATGATGAACCTTTTAGTGTTCAGTGACAACAAACATCCCACTGTGGTACAAATGCTGTAAGTTCACCACTACTGTCGTAAAGGACTTTTTTTTTTGTTTTTCTTTGTTTTTTTTAATTGGTACCGGGGATTGAACTCACAACTGCCTGTTTGCAAGGCAGGTGCTTATGGCACTGAGCTAAATCCCCAGCCAAGGATTTTGTTTTATGAAATAATTTGACCAAAACCAAGCTGATAACCTAGGCTTGAAATCAAGCTAAGTGACAGCCTGTGTACTAGGAAATTTTGGTTTTTATTTAAAAGCCCGAATTTTTTCTAAAAATACAAGTTATCAATTTAAATTAATAAGGACTAAAATCAAGTAGTAGGAGAAAAAGGATTTTAGACATAAAATCTAGATAGAGATCAGTAAAAATTTTAGTGCCAGTAAGCAAAGAATATTAACAATCAACAGAATCAGGTAGTTAGTGAATCCATTCATGAATAACTACAACAGAAATGGGATACAGAAGGACTTCTGTAAGTTCAAAGTGAGAAATGAAACCTCTCTTTTCAAAAGAAATGTTTATAAAACTATCATCCTGATATCTTAGGCTAAGGTTTGAATATGTCAGAAGTCACTTTAGAATTCTCTTTGTGAATTTTTTTGATGTCTCTCCCTTCTTAGATATTTAATTCCCCCTGTGATGCCACACTTCCCCGACCTCTTAGAACTCTAAATGGAGCTTTTCTATGTGCTTTGAAATGAATGGTTTAGATTTGTCTTTTTCCCTCTCAAGTCTAGAAACTCTTTGAAGGCTTATCTTTTAGACTGAAACCCTAGCATAGAGCTTTGCAGATAATAATTACACAGTAAATATTTAGTTAATAAAATGAATTTAACGTAAGAAATGTACTGTCTGGTGGAGTCATTTTTACCACCTACTTTTAATCAGACTAGTATAAGTCAAAAGAAAACATATTGAGAGTCCTTAGAAATATATCTAATGTAGTGAGGGCAGACAAATCTTTCCCAAGATATTAGCATACTGTTAAGACAAATACACTTTTGGAAGAAGTAAGGTTGAAGCAGCAACTTCCTTTTTTTTTTTCCCCCACAGTTAACAGTAAATAGAATTACTTGCTCATGGAAGCCAAAGCTGTTCATGGGATATCCAAGATCAAGATCACTGCCTTTCCTAACATGTTATTGAGAGTGATACTCGGTTGAACACTCACCATTTGTTTGCATAGAAGGTGCAATATTTCAGAAAGCAAGACCCCAGCTCTTCCAACAGGAAGTAAAGGTTTGCTAAATTCTCTGTAAAAGACAGGAGCAGTGATTAGGTACCTCTGAACAAACTCTCTCAACATGTGCCGAACAGGTAAGTGTGAAACTGAAATAATGCTGGACAAGTGAAAGCTCCAGGACATGCTCTAAGTCCTTTAAGCAGAAGTACTTCCAAGATTTTAGGTTTACAATATGCTTCACTGAGAAACAGACAAGGGATTTTAGAAGTCCCAGGTTTTATCTTTTTCTTTACATTTTAGATAGAAATATTGCCAAGATCAGTCTCAATTAGCAATTTTTTATTTTAAATGTTAAGCTCTGCTTCAAGTTGAAAGGAGAGAAACACCTTAGGTAACAGGAAGTTATGAAACTTAGTTCCTAGAGGTGCTTTTAATAAAGTACATTTTGACTGCTGTGTATAGTGATGTGTGTGTATAATTCCAGCACTTGGGAAGCAGAGGCAGGAAGATCATTGCGTTTTTGAGGTCAGCCTGGGCTACACAGTGAGACCCTGTCTTTAAAAAAAAAAAAAAAAAAAGCAAGCTCTGCTTGAAAATACAGATGAAACAGAAAAGGATAATTTTTTTATAGTCTTAGGTATTTCTCAAACTGTGTGCTACAGGTTATCCATTGTATAGTTAAGAGGCAATGCTGAGTTACACAAATTTTCGACTGTTCTATTTTACTATAGAAATCTCATAATTTGCAATATACCATACATGCTTTGTGAATTTCAAAGAGGAGGGACACAGTGATAAGCAAAGCTCTGACTATAAGCACTTTATGTAGAAACACTAGTGTTCTTCAGTCTGACAACGTAGTATCAAATCCTGACACACAGCCAAATCTAGGAATACATTTATTATAACTGTGAGCATACACTATGTAGGTGCCGTAGTCTGACAAGCTAAAATATGAAAATGTAACATTTTATAACATGCAGTACTAGTAGAGACAAAAGCCAGATTAAGTTTCTAGACACAAATCAGCTTTACATCAGCTATATTTATAATTCTTGCTATCTTAAATGGACTAAGGGCCTATGATGTTAAGTATCAGATTGCTACACATCTCTGGTATAGAACAAAGTAGTGTTTTAACAATGAAATTAGAAGCCTAAAATCACAGGCTGCATCGAAGTCTCCAGAGGCACTAATGAGACAGCACTATGCTATGTGATTTTGTGTCAGTTAAACTTGATATACATCAAAGAAACAAGTATAACTTACATAATAAGTTCTCTCATGGAGATTCCACCTTCTTTTAACATGGGAGTCACCAGTTCAGCAAGGTACAACCAAATATGGGGAATGTCAATGGCCATATCATCTGCCAATTCCAAGGTTTCTGAAAAACTGGAATAGAACAGAAAAAAAAAAAAAAAATTCAATGCAAATGTAAACCCAGAACTGTGGCACCCTGAGGCAGGAGAATTATGAGTTTGACCTCAGCCTAGGCAATTTAGCAAGATCTTATCTCAAAATAGGAAATAAAAAAGGGCTGAGGATACAGCTCAGAATGAAGGCCCAGGCTTTAGTACTGAAGCTGGGATGGCCGCAACAGTTAAGAGCAAGTAAAGAGACCAAAAGCCAGACAGTTTACAAATGAAGCACACACTTGGTTAGGCACTGAACTATCCATAGAGTGACTGGTAAACAAATCACCATGCTCAAAGGCCTTACACTAGTGTCAGGGAGAAAAAGAGAATTGAGTAGAAGAATGCGTATTTGTAGACAGGGCTAATACTGTACTTTCAAGAGAATGAACTATGTATGGAACCAGATGATGCCTAGAAAACCTCTGTATTGAGGTGACATTTGAAAGACTTCAATGATGAAACAAAGGCAGTCATGTAAAGTTCTGGAGACTGACTACCCAATTAAATTCCAACCATAAGGTTAACTCTGTGGTATCTTCTGAGCCAGTCAGAAGTATAGGCCAGATACATATGCAAAAACATTTGTTCTTGAGAACCTTATGATGGGAAAACTGGATGCATATAAAAGAAACTGAGAACATAACTAATATTATCATTATTGTTACACATTATAACAGTTGTATTTCTAAAGAAATGCAAATGGTCTCAGGCTTTTGTGCTATGATGTATAAGTAGTGAAGTAAAGTAAATGAGCACATTATACAACTTGGAGATGACAAATACAAAATACAAGCAGTTTCTTTTAGACTGAAAATCAGTTACTCATTTAGAAGTATAAAAAACAAGACTATTAATTTTTTCTGTATATAGCATTATTAGAAAGTACAAAAACAGAGGCTGGAGATTTAGCTCAGCGGCATAAGCGCCTGCCTTGCAAGCAGGCAGTCGTGAGTTCGATCCCCGGTACCGATAAAAAGGAAAAAGACAAAACAAAACAAAAAAAGTACAAACACAGAGGTGAATTTAACTACAGGAGACATACACGGAACTGTAAGTCATAGGGAAAAGGAGGAATATATGCAGCTTACTGGTAGAGTACCTAAGACTCTGTGTTCAACTCCCTGCATCATCAAAACCACAATGCAAAACCAAACCCAAACAAAAAATGCACATTAAAAAAAAAAACCTCTATATAGGATTTCCATACTAAATCCTGAAATACTAAATCCTTTTCTATAATTTAAAGGGAAAAACCTACGTGTATAGAAGATCTATATAATTGCTTTGTCTTTGCATTCTACGGAGCCTAAAACTACAGCTTGCAAAATATGCAGCAATGGAATGAATAAAAATGTGATACACATGCCCGGCCTGACGGTGTATGCCTGTAATCCCAGTAATTGGGAGGCTTAGGCAAGAGGATTGCCATAAATTTGAGGCCAGTCTGGAACATAGTGAGTTCAAAGTCAGCCTGGACTACACAGTGAGACCCTGTCTTAAACTCTCTTCTCTCTAAAATCAGTAACAATAATAACAAAAGAAAAAAAGAGATATACTACAGCCTCCTTTTTTGGTATTCAGTAATCATCACATCCATTAGACTGCATGTGCAAAATTCAGTAGCATTTCCATGTACTAATGACACACTGGCCAAAAAGGAAATTGAGGGTAAATCCCATTTACAACAAAAAGTTAAATGTCAATTTAACCAAAGAGTCAAAAGATCTGTGAATTGAAAACTTTATAACAAGAATTGAAGAAATCAAGTAAATGAAAATAAACCTCGACTGCATAGACTAATTAAAATTGCTAAAATATTTGAACTACTGAGTGATCCACAGATTCAATGTAATCTCCATCAAAATTTCAATTTATTTTTCACAGAAACAGAAAAAACAATCCTTAAATTTTTACAGAGCCACAAAAGATTCCAAAATGCCAAAACAAACTTGGCCAAAAGAGCAAGGTTGAGAGGATTAACATTTCCTGATTTCAAATAGGTTATAAAGCAATTATAATCAGAACAGCATGACACTAGCATAGAAACAGACCTATTAACCAATGGAACAAAACAGAAATGTAAGAAATAAAACCATGTATTTATAATCAATTAATTTTCATCAAAGGAGTCAAGAACATACAATCTAGAAAGACAATCTCTTTAATATTGTTAGGAAAATGAATTATTCATATGCAGATGAAATTGGGTTTTTATCTCATAGCATCTTTAAAAATCAACTCAAAATACATTAAAGAAGTAAACAGAGGGCAAGGGATATAGATCAGAGGCACAGAGCTTGTAGCTTGTCAGGCAAGTGCAAAGCCCTAAGTTCGGATCCCAGGACCAAAAAAAACCAAACAAACAAACAAAAAAAACCAAAAAACAAAAAAGTAAACAGAAAATCTGAAACTATAAACCTACCAGGAGAAAACAAAGGAATGTAACACAACACTGGTTTCTGCAGTAATTTATAGGATTTGATCCACTGGCACAGACAACAAAAGCAAAACCCAACAAATTTATCAAACTAAAATGCTACACAGCAAAGGAAACAGTAAATGGAGACAAATTATAGAACAGAAGAAAATATTTGTAAACCATGCATCTATTTGTTAAGGGCTTAGTACCTAGAATATGTAAGGTAAATGACTTATTATCTTAGGTATTGTGAAGGTTGAGGCAAGAAGATTTGAGGCTACCCTGGGCAACTTAGCAAAAAAGAAAAAGAAAATAAAACAAGGTTGGAGATACTAACTCAGCTCTCTCTGGGTTTAATCTTTAGCATGGCTCACCCCAAAGTCAATAGGTTTGCTCCATACATATGCACTAATGATAAGAAATTAGCTGAGAAAGAAATCAGGAAGGCAATTTCATTCTTGGTATCTAAACAAATATACAAACCTAGGAATCAATTAAACCAAGAAGGCTTACAATGAAAATTACACAACAAGGAAGGAAGAAATTAAAGAACACACTAGAATAGTAATGGTGAATCTATGGCACATGTGCTGCCGTGGGCATGCAAAGCCCTCCGTCAGCAAGTTAGCCAACTTGCCCCAGCAGCCGAGCATTGGATAACAGTTGTTTTTTCTAAGCTAAAACCTCAGTATTCACATTTAACCGCAGTGTTGGCACTTTGTGATTAAAAAGGTGAGTTTTGGGCTGCTGTTTGAACACTTGGTCTCTAAGAAGTCTGCCATCACTGAGCTAGAAGATAAAAAGACTTCACTGATTATTGATGGATTGGCAGAATTAATATTGTTAAAATGGCCTTATTACCAAGAACAATCTAAAGATTCAATGTAGTCATCATCAAAATTCCAGTGGCACTCTTCACAAAACTAGAACAAACCCTAAAATGCATTTGGAAACACAAAAGGCCCAGAACAGCCAAGGCAAACCTAAGCAAAAAAGACCAAAGCTGAAGGCATTCAAATATTCAAATTTCAAGTTATAATTCTGTTGGGTCTGAGGCTCAGTGGTAGGGTACATCTCCTGCAATTATGAGGCCCTGGATTACATTCCAACTGCAAAAACAATCGAAGTATAAAAAATTGTGATAGTCTTTTGTCTTTCTTTTTCTTCTTCTTCTTTTTTTTTTTTTTCTTTTTATCGGTACCGGGGACTGAACTCACGGCCGCCTGCTTGCAAGGCAGGTGCTTATGCTGCTGAGCTAAATCCCCAGCCCCCTTTTTCTTTTTTTTGGTACCAGGGATCAAACTCACAACCTGGCACTTGCCAGGCAGTTGCTTGTGCTGCTGAGCTAAATCCCTGGCCAATGGGACAAGTCTTTTCAACACTCAAAAACCAGGCTTAAATTGCAGAAGGCTCCTAAAGGTCGGGCACTTAGTGTGACTCATAAAGAGGCCTACTATTCTCCCAAAGAACCTCTTGAGAGAAGTCACTAAATTCCTTACATGTCAATCAGCTCCCAGACCCAGAACCCCTTGAATGAAGGGGAGGCAAGATTCCCTTAGCGAAGGACCCTGATGCATTAAACATTTATAGAATCATTCTTTCTCCTATCCTTCCCAAGTGGCCTTTTACCCCGGTGACTGTATAGCAGGGAAAGGAAAATGATCAAACACTTCTGGAACTACTGGACACTGGTTCTGAACTAACAGTGATTCTAGAGCCTCCAAAAGGACTCTTACTGGCCCTCCCGTACTGGCCCTCCAGTAACAGTAGGGACCTGTGGAGGTCAGGTGATCAAAGGAGTTTTAGCAAAGGTCTGATTCAGTGTGCCCAGTAAATCTTTGAATCCAGCCTAGTAGTCATTTCCCCTGTTCCTGAATGCATAATTGGGACAGATATACCTGGTACATGGCAGAAGCCTTAAGCGCTGCCTTTGACTGGTAAAATAGTAAACCAAAAGCAGTACCACATTCCTGGAGGGACCGCAGAGACCAATATCACTATCAAGGACTTAAAGGATGCAGAGGTGGTGGTCCCTACTACATTTTCATTTACTTCCCCCATTTGGCCCATAGAGAAGATGAATGAATGGGTCTTGGAAAATGATACTAGATTACCATAAACTCGAATTGAAGCTGTTGTACCAGATGTGGTCTCCTTACTTGAACATATTAACACATCTACTTGGTAGTACCTGCTGTAGATGGTGGTAGAGCATTTGAGACTCAGAGATGGAAAATAAATCCCAATGAAAAGTCAAGGTCTATCTAGGTGGTATGGGGCATGTAAAGACACCTCTTCCAAGGTAAAAGATAAGTTGCTGCATCTGGCCCCCCCTACACTGAAAACCAAAAGAGGCACAACACCTACTGAGCCTATTTGAATTTTAGAAGCAATACATTCCTCACTTAGGTGTCTCAGTCTGGTCCAATCACTGAGTGATTCCAAAGCTGCTAGTTTTGAGTGGAGCCCAGAACAATAAAAGGCTCTGTAACATATCCAGGCTGCTGTGCAGATATGCTCTGGGACCATATGATCCAGCAGATTCAGTGGTACCTGAA